TTGTAGTTTATAATCTGAATATATCTTTATTCAGATAAATTTTCAAACTTTTTAGTACAGCCTGATAGCTGTAGTTGAATCTGTTTTTCCAACTTTAACCTTTTAAGTGTCAAAAGCTGAAAGACCTAAACTGCTTTACAACAGGTTACAGTCTCTTATATAAGTGTGTACATTAAGCGAGTTTGTGATGTTGTTGTATATGTGTGTTTCGCAATTAACATATTATATCCCACATTTGAATTATAACACAAAATTAGTAATCTTTACAGCATTCCAGTATTTGCATTATTATTTTGTGTGTGTGTGTGTGTGTGAAAGATATCAGAATAAATCTGTTAGATATAAAGTATAAAACAAAATCTATGTGTCTGTCTGTTTGTCCCTTATCTAACTACTCCTAGGTCACTGGGCCAATCTCAACCAAACTTTGTGGGATGATAGACTGGAACAAAAGGCATGTTAATGGTGTTAAAAAAACCACCATCCCCATTATTGCAGTTATTGAGCGTTTATTATCTTTGATGTAAGTTAACGTTACTACATTTATAGACAGCGTCATGTTCTTAAACCAAACAAAAAACTTTATGAAATTTTTCGTCACCCAGTGGGACAGCGGTAAGTCTTCGGATTTATAATGCTAAAGTCAGGGTTTCGATTCCCCTCGGTAAACACAGAAGATAGTTCGATGTGGCTTTGCTATAGGAAAACACACACACACACACACATTTACTTTTGTATAATACAGCAGAAACAATGTGTGGAAAACACACAAACGTCTTATATGTCTCAGAGAGTGCGCTAGCACTTTCTACGGAGGAATGCAAGGAAGAAAAATGGCCGCCACTATTGCAATAATACATAAACTCAGATTAAGTTGATAGACAACAGCCACCATAACGCTGATATGAGGAGACGTTTTTTGAGTTATACCCACTTCTTACTTTGACCCGTAACCTTACAATTTCATCCCATCAGACACTTCTACGGCCAATGACCGTCAATTAATTAATAACGTGAAAATTGTGGAAGGACATTAAGAGGTGGGTGATGAAAGGGGATAACAGAAAGCACCTCTACCGCCACTACTTTCACCGCTACCTCTTCATACAAAGTCATCCTGACCATTACACAGCGTATACCATGTTTTAAGTTGAGTTCCTAAAGCTTATACAAAACGTTTAGTGAGCTAATAATGAATACTGTAATAATATGTTATGTTATAAATAAATTCTGTGAAAGACAGAATTTTTGTATTATTTATCATAGCAACCACCCCTTACATTTTTGAAAGTTCATAACCCAGACAAAGGACGGATACCTGAGCTTGTATTTGTATGAATTTAAATTTAATATTTATATTGTAGATTTGCTATATATCTATTTCTGGGTGAATCTGGTTTTCCAAATTCATCTATATATTTCTTTGTTTTCCAATATCATTAAGTACAAGGGATATCCTCTTTTTTGAAATTCTAAATTCCCGATCTGAACACAACTTTATGATATGGATATACGAATATTTTGTGTCAGTAAGGGTTGTTACATACCCTTCTAAAAATAATCAATTTTCGGTGACATCATACTACGTACGTCACATCAAACAATGTCAAAATGTAGTTCTGAGAAAAGCCCCATGGATCAAGTTTAAAAGTGTGGGGCTTTGGATATTTGAGTGTATTATATCTTTATTACTAAAGACGTTTTCAGAAACCGAACTGTGTGTACATTCACTATTCAAATATTGCATATATATGACAGTAATATCGTTATATATATATATATATTATGTCTTTGATATATAGTATTCAGGTTTGTTTGTTTGTTTCTTTGAAGTGAAGCACAAAGTTACACAATGGGCTATCTGTGCTCTGCCCACCAGGAGTATCGAAACCCGGTTTCTAGCGTTGTAAGTCCACAGACATACCGCTGTGCCACTGGGTGGCAGTATTCAGGTATGTCATATGTTTGCTAACCTCTTGTTTAACATAAAAAAGGAGGATATAATTTGAGAGATCAAATACGAAGCGCAATTAGCATAAATTTTGTACAAAATAGGTGCTACGAAATTAAATATGGAAGGAATTGTGCATGAAATATAGCTTAAACAATTGTGTGGATCTTCACATAAAATCTTCAAACATCCAATGAAAACTCAACAAATCATCATTTTGTTGCAACACTGCAGTGGGGGGGGGGGAGGGCTAGACTTAAACTAGCAGAATTTTTTTTTATTTCGCGCAAAGCTACACGAGGGCTATTTGCACTAGCTGTCCCTAATTTAGCAGTGTAAGACTAGAGGGAAGGCAGCTAGTCATCACCACACACCGCCAACTCTTGGGCTACTCTTTTACCAACGAATAGTGGGATTGACCGTCACATTATAACGCCCCCACGGCTGAAAGGGCGAGCATGTTTGGTGTGACAGGGATTCGAACCCGCGACTCTCAGATTGCGAGTCGAGCACCTTAACCACCTGGCCATGCCTGGCCACTAGCATAAATATATATGTTTTATTATTGCAAAGTACCGAACTATCTACATACAGAGTAGCTATTAATTGTTAAACAAAATTACTAACTTAAACAACTTTGTACAGCTATTTCAATCATTGGGTATCATTAACATACACGTATGCACTATTGAAATAACCTACTGCAAAGAATCTGGCCTACAAAGCCTGACAGTAGAAATACGGCTTCGGGATTCCAATTACAAAGTGTCAAGAGAATCCATTGCATGCGACTATTTCAAGCCCAAAAAATACTAATGCTTCATCAGAAGAATGCAGATTATATACAAAACGTTAAATACCATAAGCAGCTGGTGAGAACTATATAAACATAATTTTTTACATTACAAAAATAGGGGGTTTAGCCGACCCCACCTGCGTATTTTGGGTGTTGTGGTTTTTGTGTGTGCTTAGATCAGATTTACTATTGAATGTTGAATTCCCTGATGTACGTTTTTATCATAACAAAATGGTGTGCCATCTATTTATAACATTATAGCAATTATCGACCTAAGTAAGATGCCAGGGATGTAAATACTGACATTTACTTTGATTACAAAATTAGTATTAAGCTGGAACAGATCGGTCAGTATTGCGATATACATGAGGTCCGAAACGCCTAAATTGATATACCAAGTACAAAATGTATATTTCCATACGCAGATGATTCCAGTAAATTATCAGTGTCATTATAGTGTTACGTCTCCGTTTGTTAATTAACTTTCCGTAACTTCGTTCCGACGAAACTTTAGCGACACAAGTCCTTACTTAATAAACTGGTTTATTCTTTCTGAATATAACTTCACGATACACTTGATTTCAACATTCGCGCTAAAACTGCGCTATAACGAATGTTAACTTCAACAATACTTTCTCACTGCAGATCAATTACTCACTACCTACACACACATTATCGTCCCGTCACGTTGTCACCCTCTTTTATATACCAGACTACCCTATATCTAGTAAATGCTAGAGCATTC